GCGGCTGGGCCCATGAGCCATGGCCGCTAAGCCTGTGCGTCCGGAGCCTGTGCTCCGCAACGGGAGAGGCCACAACAGTGAGAGGCCCATGTACCGCATAAACAAAACAAAACAAAACACAACAATTATCTGCAAAGTGCAATAAAGAGAAGCACGATAAAATGAGGTAATGCCTGCACTATGTTGAACCGAAGTGGCAAAAGTGGGCATCCTTTACTTGTTCCTGATCTTAAACAAAAAGCTTTAAGTCTTACACTATTGAGTACAATGTTAGCTGTGGGTTTTTCATGTATGGCATTTATGTTGCAGTTTTCCTCTATTCCTAGTTTGTTGAGTATTTTTATGATAAAAGTGTTGAATTTTGTCAAATGCTTTTTCTGCATCAATTGATTTTTCTGCATCAATTGATCATGTGATTTTTCCCCCTTTGTTCTGTTACTGTGGTAATTATACTGACTGACTTTCATAGGCTGAACTATCCTTGCATTCCAGGGATAAATCCCAGTTGGTCATGCTGTAGAGTCTTTTTTAAAGGCGTCCTCATTTGGTTTGCTACTTATTATACTTTTCAACTCCAGAATTTCTTTTTGATTTCCCTTCAGATGTTTCTAACCCTAACAGATATTTCCATTTTGTTCATATGCTGTTCTCTTGACTCATCTTTAACATGACTGTTTTAAAGTCTCTGTCTAGTAGATATGCCATCAGGTCTTTTTCAGGAATGGTTTCTGTTGATTTTTTTCTCCTTTGAATGGGCCATATTTTCCTGTTCCTTTGTGTGCCTTGTGATTTTTTTGTTGAAAACAACATTTGAATGTAATAATTTAACCCTGGAAATCAGATTCTCCCCCTCCTCCAGGGATGCCATTTTCTGTTACTACTTTGGGTTTTTAAAAAAAAACTGTTGTAGCCTCTCTCTGAGCCAAGGATCAGGTTAACGTATAAACTGAAGTTCTTCTCAGGTCTTTCTGAGCCTGCTCCTTTCCCTGAACATGTGGTCATTTTCTAATTTTCCTCATATACACAGCTGCTTTTGAATGTCCTAGACTTTAATGTCTGACTCCCAAAATGGGAAAGAGAAAAAAATTAAGGGGGTGGAAAAATGCACTAGTGTTTGAAATCCCCAGGAAGTCACTTTAGCCAGAGGAGGAGGTGTCTGACACAATGGGGAGGTGCAAAAACAATGGCCACCCTCCTCTTCACAACTCTGGGATGAGAGCACAGATCCCAGAAGTTCAGAGGACAGTGTCCTCCTTTTTGTTCACCCTGGCTCTACAAGCAAGGTGCTCAAGGAACAAGTGTACAGCTGCCTGCCACAGCACTGGGGGTGGAAGATGGGTAGTCGCAACTATGCTAAGAGTTGAAGTTGATCAAAATTGACTGCAATTTATTACTATTCAAGCCTTCCCCTAGAAACGGCAATTCTTCAATAGACTCCAGAGTTCTAAAATAGTTACAAATACTGCTAGACAAATACTGCTAGTCCAACTGTCATCTAGGTGGGGTGACAGATTCCTGGTGCTTCCTACTTTGCCATCGTCCCTGAAAATTACTGATCTTTGTATAATGATCTTGTCACCAATTACCTTTTTCTAAACCCATTTACTAGTTCTACAACTTTTCAATTAATTTTCTTGGTTTTTGAAGTACAGTCAGAGCATCCACAAATAATCGAATATTTCCTCCTTTAAAATATTTATATCTGTCATTTCTTTATCTGGATTTTCTAATATTTAAATGTGTTATTGGCAAATATTCTTTTCTTTTCTTTTTTTTTTTTTGCAGTATCCAGGCCTCTCACTGCTGTGGCCTCTCCCGTTGCGGAGCACAGGCTCCAGATGCGCAGGCTCAGCGGCCATGGCTCACGGGCCCAGCCGCTCCGCGGCATGTGGGATCTTCCCGGACGTGGGCACGAACCCGCAACCCCTGCATCAGCAGGCGGACTCTCAACCACTGAGCCACCAGGGAAGCCCTCTTGTACTTTCTTGACTTAAATAGAATATATTACTAGTGCTTCTATGTTAATCATGAGGTTGGCTATTAGTTTTATTAATCTTTATATGGTTAAGTATTTTTACTTTTTTATTTACTAATATTTTCCCCTCAACAATTTAATATCATGAGAATATAATTTAACACTGAAACATTTAATATATTTCCGAACACTGCAATATTCTTATATTCCTGGGAATAACCAATACTTGGTTTTAATATAATACTGGATTTATTTTTATAATTATTTACCTTTTGAAAAAACTTAAAAAGTGACTGATTTGAGGTTTTCACTTTTGTACTGTCTTTAAAAGGTTTTTATGTCAGTGTTACACCACCTAAAAGGAACTGGGAAGCTTTCCATATTTTTCTGTGTTCTGGAGAATTCTGTCCTTTGTAGGTGTAAATAAAGCTATCTATATGACCTGAATTAAGTCTAGCAGCATGTTCATTAATAATTTTTCTTTCCTCCCTAGGTGTATTCAAGTTTCCTACCTCATTTTGAATCATTTTTTGTCAGTTTTATCTTCTTAAAATCATCCTTTTAATATATTTTAGAATAACATTTATATATTTTAATATGGTATTCTCTAGTAAGTTTAATCCTCATCTCTGGTTATTATCTCTAATTCTGATATTATAATTTTAAATTTTATTTTTTCCTTGGTTAGAGAATTGCTAGAAGGTTGTCAATTTTGTCGATCTTTTCAACAAATAATCAATTTTGTTTTCCTGTTTCCTAATTTATCATAGAAATGTACTTCCATCTTTCCTTTTACCATTTTGCTTTATTATTCTCTTTCAAATTTCATAATAAGAATGCCTACTACATTTTACTTCCAGTTTTTAGCCCAGATGTTTTCCAATTGGTAAAGCTTTGGGTAATGCACTCGTGTGTGTTTCCCAAATTGCAGTTTGGCTCTTGTCCCTACCACATGAATAAAACTGCCCTCAGTAAGTCATGGATCATCTATATATTGACAAAGATAACAAACCTGTCACCCTTGTTTTACCAGAACTCTTCATATAGTATCTGTCATCAACTATGCCCTCCTTCTTGAAACTCTATTCTCTCAGCTTTTCTGATAAAACTCTCTTCTCATTTCTCTCCTGACTCTCCAATCATCCTTCCTCAGCATTCTACCATGGTAGGGCTTATTTTCTTCTCTTAAATGTCACTGTTTCTCAAGACAGTGTGTCCTGGAAGCTCTATTCTTATTAAACACGATTCCTAGTGACCTCAGACACACACATGGATTCAACTATCTTTTACACACAAAGCTCCATAAATCCAAATGTACAGCTCCCTATTAGATCAGACTGATTGCAGAAGGATATCCCACATGTATCTTGTCTAACTTAGACAATATCATCATCTTTATCCCCCCAGTTTTACACTTTCTCTCTATTCCAGATACTTGTGATTAGTATCAATATTCCCAGATTGGTAACTTAGGAATAATTTTAGAACTCTTCCCTCTCATTTAACCACATTCAAGCAGTCACCAACTTCTGAAGGTTTACCTTTAGCCCCCAAGAATCTGTCCCCTTATGGCTCTTCCTTAGAGCATGTATTTTCATAAAAACGACTTCGACAATCCCTTAACTATCCTGTCTGCAACCTGGCTCTCTCCTATCTACGTGCCACACCAGTTTCCAACTGATTTTTAATAAATGAAAATTTGTGTATTGATGACTCTTAGCTTGCATATTCTATTTGTTTCCTCTACTTAGGATGACCTCTACCCACTCCTTTTTTACCTATCTAACCCCCCATGTCCTTCAAGTTCAATTCTTATTAACTCCCTCTCTGGAAAGCTCCCTCTCTGTATATGAATATTATTATACATACTCTTCTTATTGTGCTAGCATAGCGCCTTGGGCACGTCTTTCACAAAACATGTATTCTATAGTAATCACCGATTTATTAGTCTATTTTCTGTGAAAGGAAAAGTAACCTGAGACCAACAGACCTTGACTGTTTGCTTTGTACTCATTAGGAAGCACATGTTTGTTCACATTCAAAGTCTATATCATGTATGAATGATTTTACAAAAATTCTGTCTAAATAAGAACTCATGTAAACATATCTATAATGAGAACTGACTGACTGTTAGTAAACTTCCTGTGATACAGGAAAACATATAAGGGAAATACTCCAGCTCCACAAATTCATGCTGCTGGGGGTCAGAAAGGCTTCTCTGAGCTTAGGAATGTAAAAATAGACCAGGTACTTTGGATTGGATTGCTACTGACTGTTCCACACTATACTACAAACCTGTGTCTAATATAACCAGGCTGTTAGTAAGACAAGTATAATTTAAAAAAAAAAAAAAAAAAAAGCCAGAATGGTGATTGTGATGCATCCTTGAAAAACGTGAGTCTTTAATAATGAAATAAAAACAAAGAAGGATTTGATCATTATAAACCCATTCCTTAAGGTCTTTCCAATTTACTGCTGCACAACACAATGCTCAATTTAAAATATTAGCTCTCACAGAACTCTTTCAGGTTTTTGTTGTTTGTTTTTGTGGGAGTTTTTTGTTACCTTGTTTGTTTCCATAATTAATTACAGTATATAACTCAAAGGAACATAAATTTCATAAGGACAAAGCTGGACCAAGAATGTAAAACTTAAGTAAGCTGTTTAGAAAAAACATTTAGTAAAAGTTCAAGTTTTCCGATCTGTATGTCATTTTAGCCGACTTATTAAATATAGTAAATTTGCTTTAATTACAAATTTTTGGTTATTGAAAAATGGTAGTGAAACTAGGGCTTGAGATTCTACCACTAATTATGACTCAAAATTACACTGTTCCAGGAACAGATTATAAGCCTACATCCTGTAAGCCGCCTCAAAATGAATTTTGTTGTTCACAGGAAGAACTCAAAAGAACGCTGAATGGAATGGGAAAAAATTGTCACCAATATGGAAACAGTAAAACAACATTTTTAAATGTGAAAAACTCACATTCACATAGTTCAAGAATTGCATTTTTCAAACGTACCTTGTCCATTAATTTGCTGGCATGAAGACTCAAGCTACTGAAGAATATTTTTTTGCTCAGCAAATGCATTTCTTCAATGGTAGTCAACAATGTAGTTGCACTATTTCCAACAATGCCACTAAAAGCAAAGAATATTTCAGGTTGCAAAACAGGCCAAAACAACCCAGCTCTTTAACTGGGTAGAATTCTTTAAAAAGATCTAGATTTAAATAAAAGTTTTTATATAGAATATAACCTGTGAATTAAAAACAATTACTCTAGTTTCATATAAAAATGAGGGGTTTTTTCCTTTTAAGTTAGGTGATGAACAAATGAAAACAAACTACAGTGTTTTAAATATTTCACAATCTCTTAGAAAAGCAGTGGGTTAGAACAAACACCTGTAATATGCAAACCCATGTCTCTATTTTTCCTCTATTATAGTAAATGCATGTTTTGATTATCCAAGAAGATCTGATTTTAATTTTAAGGAAGCCATTCCATCAATAGCTCTATTGAGAAAATAATTTTTATTAATACCGAGTTTTTTTAATTAAAACTGTTATACTGTATCAATAACACACCTGTAAATTATAAAGCTTCTCAATTTTTATACAGCTACCTAAATAGCATATATTTAGACTAATTACGAAAAATCTGATAACATTTTGAAATAATTATTCTACATTCCATAATTCTCAATTTTATATTACAAGGATATTTCTTAGACTTATCCAATGGGGTTTCTCATTTTTGGCAGAATGTAAGACAAGCATGTATATAAAACAACTCCCTATTTTATTCTCCTATTCATGTATTGAAAGTGACTCTTCTGTTCCTGATACTGGCATGCTTGATAAAAAGTTAATTTAAAATAATTTTTTAATAGGCTAATATGAAAACTATCAAAAACATAGCTTGGAAGAACACTTTTAACACAACTACACATATAACATGGTTTTATAGTGACATCTACAATAAGACTCAAGTCTATGTATACCACCAAAAGATATTTGCAAGGTGAAAATGAATGCAAATTTTGGAGTTGAAGATCATATTTTATCTGATTAAGAACCACTTGTCTTATCTATAAAGTCACTTTTATTTAGAGAAGATAAGACAGCTATTACTTAGAGGAGATAAAGCTATCTGTTCTGTTTTATCACTAATGGAAAACTAAATGTTAAAGAAGAATTTATGTAAACATCCAGAATAGGACATTTTACTAATTATGCCCTACTCTGAGTATAACATATAGTTGCTTTAGGTGCCATGGATCTCTTTTACTAATACAGGAGGACTCAAAAAATACTTATAGACTTACACTGCTGTGTGTGTGTGTGTGTGTGTGTACTTATGCTTGGAGAAGAAAGGGAAAAAGAAACGATGGACCACAAAAGTACAGTATGTATAATATGCATATAATGATTCATATGGTGTGGAGGTTCTACTAGTTACACTTAGTCATGCATAGAATACACACACACAAAATATTACAGTGTGTTCTAACTGAAATGAAGTGTCACATGGGATTCAACAAGCACATTTAACCATTCCACTTACCTGACTGTATGGTGATAAAATTTGAGGAGGTTAGAAATTTTATATAATAAAACTGCCCCAGGTTCAGCAACTATTACTTGTTCAATTCGAACCTATTAAAAAACACGTGAGAAAAAACTAAACATTTCCTAAAAGTGTAACTTTTCTTCATTAATCACATGTGGTATGAATAGCATTAAAAAGATTAAATTTTATTATTGCAGAAATCACAAAATTCCTCCTAACTAAAGAACTCCTGAATATTAAATCACAGAGGATGGTAAAACAACACAGAAACTTTAGCACAGATATGCCCTACAAAAAAATGATCCATTACCTACAGAATTTGGTTCAAGGCAATTGCTATCAGAAATAATCAATACAATGAGGTCATCTTGAGGCTTTTCACCAGCATATAATGGAATTTAGTTTAGCAATAAATTGCAAAGCAGCTGTCACATTCCTAAAAACAGATTATCAGTGGAAAGGTACTGCTCTATGAATGAATGTTAAGGAAAAAAATGAAAAAAAAAATCTTCTCTTTAAATGACTATACCAAGTTTCTTTCTATTAGAGAACAGGGAAGCAGATAAATCTTGAATTAGCACCAATTATAATACTGCCAGGGCAGTATCTCAGATCTAGTTCAAGATTAACTTGATAAGCTCAAGTTTAACTACTAGGAATCTTTTCTAATTAAAATCCATCCCTCACTAATCTTTCCCTTACTTTATATTCACTAATTAACAAATACAATCTAAACCACACTGAATGTGCTTACTTACATATTATATTACATCTATGCTTATTAAGCTGCTGATAACATATGTGTCTTCTTGTTTCCTAACAGGATTCTAAACACAGACATTGTGTTTTCTGGTTCTCTTACATCTCTGCAGCGTTTGGTAGAACAGCACATACACAAGAGATGTTCAATAAACAAATGCTTTTGAAAACATTTAGATTTTGGAGTATGTCATAATATCAACGAATGTGACCTGCTAAAATGATATTTTATAAATACATGTATACGAGTATGCAAAAACCTCTTGCATAGAAAATTGGCAATGATTATTTTAAAATGCGTTTTATTACCCTGCGTTGTGTTAATCTGACAAAATTACGGCCTGAATTCAAGCTGCTGTTTCTTTAAAATCAGAATAAGTCATTAATTTAACCAGCTACCATATAACATATATAAAAACAAAATATTTTACCTTTAGGGGCCTGCACACACCCTCAGTAATATGTCCAACAACTTCTTGAATATTTTCTTCAACACCTACAATTAATTATAACATAACTAAAATTTTTTTCCCATACTACACTTTGCTTCACATAAGTTCAGAAAATTAACAAACACTAATACATATGATTAATGGCATTAATAAACATTTAAAATAACAATTAACGATATTTTATTGAGTTTAATACCTTTAGGACATTACTAATTATATTAATGAGTCTAAAGCCCTATCAATTGATTTCACTGTTGATTAATGAACATTATTTCTTTGTGAAAAAGAGTAAACGTATGAAAAAGACTGAAATTTATTAACTGAAGGAGGTGATGTGAAGATGTATTAGCATTCGTTCCACAAGCTCCTTACTCTAGGCAGTAGTGCTAAGCACACAAACTACGGGTATAAAGATGGAAAACACGCCTTGCAATCTAATGGAAAAACCGACATTTACTGATTACTGACTATTTATCAGGGTCTGTACAGGGTACTTGACATGTACTGCTTGTAACCACCTTCATTTTTACAGATGGAGAGACTCAGGTTTAGAAGAATTCATGCCATTCCCACAGAATAACTTATTTCTAACTCCAATTATTTTCTTCCCACTTCTTAATGTTACCTCTCGTGTAAATTTTCCTACATCTTTTAACAAATACATTTTTTTAAACTGGGTAATTAACATAACAGAAAACAACTTTAAAAAGTGCAGACTTTGTGCCAACCTATCATATATGCTGAATCTAATCTCAATATCGAAGAGTTGAAAACGAGGTTAAGCCCTGCACCCATTCATATACTGGCCTCTCCTGCAGATGATGTGCTGAACCAGGATGACGTGGGGCTGAGCTATTCAAAATAGGTAAGTGATACCAGTCACAACATCTTTCTTCACTTCCTAGCAAAGCCAGAGCATCTTAATTATCGACTAACCCCTTCTACAACAGGCATCTTAAGGTAGTCACAACTAAGAAGATTTGAAATTCTGTAAACAGACGTTTGCAACTCAAAAATAATCATTTCTCTTCTTTGAAATCAAGACCAAAATTTTAGGTACATTTAGTACATAGCTAATTATTTATTTATTTATTTATTTATTTATTTGGCTGCATCAGGTCTTAGATACGGCACGCTGGGTCTTCATTGAGGCGTGCAGGATCTTTCGTTGCGACGCACTGGCTCTTCATTGCAGCGTGCGGGCTTCTCTCTAGTTGTGGTGCGCAGGCTCCAGGGCGCATAGGCTCTGTAGTTTGCGGCACGCAGGCTCTCTAGTTGTGGCGCACGGGCTTAGTTGCCTCGCAGCATGTGGGATCTTAGTTCCCCGATCAGGGATCAAACCCGCGTCCCCTGCACTAGAAGGCAGATTCTTTACCACTGGACCACTAGGGAAGTCCCAGTACATAGGTAATTATTCAAAAAACTTTAAAATAGTCACATGAGAATGAAAAAAGGGGCTGGACAGTAGAAATGAAAGAAGTGGTAGCTTAACGACCTTAAGCCAGTCACTGACTGAGCCTGTGTACTCATAGATAAAATGAAGAGAACATCACCTTTTGCCTTTAAAAGATGGTGGCTGAGATAATGTAGGCCAGGCACTCCAGAGATGCCTTAAAAGTGAAGCAGAGGGGTCTAGGCTTACAAGGAAAGGTCCCAAGGGTCCAGTGTAAAAATGTGATCAGTTGTGTGACAAAATGAAAGTGATGGAAAAGAAAGTCTATCAGCAGAAAAAGGGGGAAACTAGAGACAGGAAGATGAATTAGGATGCTTATTAAATCACCTAGTTTGAAGAGTTTATCTCCATGAAGAAAACAGCAATAAGAACAGAAACAGAGAAGTCCTGCGTGATTTACTCGATCTAGGCATGAGTGGTAACCATCAGAGGACCCACCTTGTGTAGTTACATGCTTTAAGAGAGCTTCAAGGTGTTCTTTTTCAGAAGCAGTAGCCTGATGGAGCCAAGCCAACATATCTCCCACATATCTAATGAAAAAACTAAATGTTAGTAAAGAGTTCCTTCAGAAAAACATCGAATACTCCAATACTGTCTGACTACTATACCTCAAAGGGTCATGGGAGTGCATTTCAATGGGTCTAGGTGTACCTCCTGGGCCCCCTCTCGTAAGAGCATCGATAAATCCACGAACAATGGTACTTCTTCTGGCTGTTCCAAACTCATCTAAGGTATACCTAGAAGAAACAAGTTATTCACAAACAGTTGCTTTTCTTCCTAATGGTTACATCCAAGTATTCATGCACTTTCTAAGATATCTAAAGCTTTTTTACACAATTCTCTCAAGCAATACTGCTTTAAACAACAAAAAATATTTATGAAATAACTTTATCATAATGATAATTCAACCTAAAGGTGCATCTTTTTATGCCTAAGAAAGAATTCTGGGATTTGGAATCAGTAACAGAGGCAGGGGCAATAAGGGACAGAGCAGGGGATTTGGTAAAAGTAAAACTCAAGACAAGGTGGAAATCCGGGACTCTACCGCTTTCAGTGCCCCCCCCCGCCCCCGCCCAAAACATGATGCTCCACTGCACACACAAGGCCTAATATCTAGTTCTCAGAGGCTGGTTACAGTTAGAACTCTGCAATCCAAAATATAAGACTTTTCCTTCTACATTAAAAAATTCTCATTTATATTTATTCAATATTATCAAAATTTACCATCAAAATTTGTCCAAAATATACTATTCATATTGAAAAGCTTATTTTGACTCCAATGTTAAACGTATGTTCCTTAAATTTACTGACCAACTATGCACACAGAGCAAATACTTTTACATATACTTACAAGTTATCAATTATGGTTGGGGGAAAAAAATGGACTTTCGAAGGTGAGGAATTTGTAGGAAAGAAAAGCTCTGAATGAAAGAATCAGACAATTTGGGATCAAATTATAGGATGGCTTAGAGTTACCAGCAGTACCTGTTTCTTAGACTAGAATCAGCCTTTGTTTCCCATTATCACCACCCGATGCCCAATTGAAAGTTCTATTTTAAAAGTACATAGGAAAACAAAATATTTTTTTCATAGTCCAATGTCAGCGGATTCTAGACCAATTGACTTTTAAATCCCTAAACAGTACTCTACTAAATGTTGAGAATTATTTCATTACCTTACATATAAATAAAAGTTATCAAAATTCCCCAAAGGTTTCCAGAAGAATTTCTTAGGCTATACTGCTTTAATATGCTACTGATTTAATGAAAAACCCACATTTTTTTTAACATAAGAAAGCTGGAAGACGGAATATTTTTAAATAAAAGTGTAGTGAAGTAATCAATAGCTGTAAATTTTTAGGACTCTGAACCTTTTTTTAAAGGACTGTTCACTAGTAACCAGATCATGGTTGTTTGTGGTTTTTTGGTTTTGGTTAAAAAGAAATGGTTTTGAAATTCCCTGCAGTGACATACCAGATATATACGTCAAGATGAAAACGCAGTATCAAGCTAAGTGTTGCTAAAGTACACAATTGCCTTGCATTCACTTTCTATTTTTTAAAATAAATTAGAACCAAAATGCTTATTTCTATTTTTTGCCTCATGCTCTCAAATTATAAACGTTCAGAGTAAAGAATGCATTCCTTTAAATCAGCGGTCCCCAACCTTTTTGACACCAGGGACCCGTTTCGTGGAAGACAACTCTCCCACAGAAGGGGGGGGGGGATGGCTCAGGCTGTAACGCGAGCGATGGGGGCGACAGGGAGCCGCAGATGAAGCTTCCCTGGCTCAGCGCTCACCTCCTGCTGTGCGGCCCGGTTCCTAACAGGCCGAGGACCCCTACTGGTCTGCGGCCCGGGGGCTGGGGACCCCTGCTTTAAATGATCATCAATTCCATGAAATGACTTGTGATCAGATGACTCCTTATGACAGCACAACATTCACAAACTTTTAACTTTTTAAATATGTAAAACTAATCTTCACCCTCTGGACCCAAATGGCTATGTAATAAACAGAAACAATGTAACTTCTGTTTCTAGGACTATTCACTGTGACCACAAGTTATATTAGAAACCAGTGAATCCACTGGCATTTTAAATGGGGGAGGGGCGATTTAAAAAGCCTAACAAACACTAGAATCTGTTTACTATAACATATAAATAAACAATATTAATGCTTATTTTCCTGCAATAGATATAATTTGAAGAACAGCATGAACTAAAAGGAACCTTCGGGCTTCCCTGGTGGTGCAGTGGTTGAGAGTCCCCCTGCCGATGCAAGGGACACGGGTTCATGCCCCAGTCCAGGAAGATCCCACATGCCGCCGAGTGGCTGGGCCCGTGAGCCATGGCTGCTGAGCCTGCACGTCCGGAGCCTGTGCTCCACAACGGGAGAGGCCACAGCAGTGAGAGGCCCGCGTACAGCAAAAAAAAAATAAAAATAAAAAAAATTTTAAATTTAAATTTAAATTTAAAAAAATTTAAAAAAATAAAAAAATAAAAAAATTTTTAAAAAAAGGAACCGTCAATGATACCTGAAGACATGAGACATCTTTCCCAGAGACAGAAGAAAATTTCTTTGACCAAAACGGATTCTCTTCCAACAAAGGTCAAAAACTGAAAATGTAGCTTTACAAAGGTGACTGTTAAAATTATGTAAATATTCTAAAATGCCTCTAGTTAAAATAAAAATTCAAATCTCCATTTTTTTATATCTAGCCATAGCAGAAAAAGAAAAATTCTGGTCAAACAGCAAATTAAAAGATGAAAAAATTTGTCCAAAAAAGAATTAAAAGATAAAATAGTGTAGAAACCTCTCTAAGAAATGCAATAAACAAAAAAATGAAGAAAAATCAGCATTGTACACATTACTACGTTCTTCAATCATTTATATGCTGAAGGTTTACCAATGGAAAGAAGACAACGTCAATTTGTTCATTTCTACTTGTAATAAGTTTCTTTTTGAAGAAACTTCTGTACTTGATTTATTAAAAGTCAATAATGCATTAGCATTCAGTTATATAATACCTAAGAAAAACTGAGTATGGCAACTTTCCCCAAAGACTTCAATAACTGACATTTTCTTGTACGTGATACTTACACATGTGACACACAATAATGAACAGTGAAGCTTTTACACATCACTTAAATCAAGTTCATATAGTGCCATCTGGTGGTTAACATGATATACTACTAAGTTTTCCCTAAATTTAAAGAAACCACCACTTTTGGAAATAGGTGATTACTTAAGATGAAAGGACCATTTTCTCTTTCTTAGCATTCATGTTATGGTACTTAACTGTCACTAAAATCCTCCCTCTTCCCCATTCAACCCGCAAATGCTTCTTACAACCTTCCATACTGCACTACTGCCCCCATCCCCTGTGTGTCCTTTGGACATAAACCTTTGCCTATTTTAGTTCTCTTCTTTGTCTTTCAAGCATTTTGCCTTCCTGTCGTGCAGGCCTAAAATACACTTCTCCTTAGTTGAAAACTTTCCAGCTTATCTCCTTTCAAAATAGAAATAATAGCTAATATTTTGTGATGAGCAAAGCATTATGGTAAACACCTTATGGGAACATTCTAATTTAATCTCTCCAACAATCCGGCAAGACAGGCACTATTTTTATCCTCATTTTACAGCTCAAGGAAACTGAAGCTTATAAAGGTGCATGGGTTCATCAAAAACTATAACTCAGAGCCCACCTTTTAAACCATTATGCAAAATTGCTCCTTTCCAAGTGTTGATCAGGAATCAAAATTTAGAAAAAATATGTTTATATGGTAGAAGTCAGCTGACCTTTTCAGATGCCCAAACAGACAAAGGCATTTTTTTTAAAGATTAACCTTGTGAACAATTATGAATCTGTGGACAATGCTACACATTATTAAACAAACACCAAATGTTTTAAGTACCAAAAGACTCTCATAATCAAACACCAATACCTTACAGTGAAAAAGCTGGGAAAGAAATTTCGAAGTCAATGAGATCTGCTGCACTGGGGGTCACGAGTGAACAGCAGCTTATCACAGGCACCTGCACGACACGCAGGGCTATTATGATCCAGCTCTTGCTACTGACCCAACAGCCAGGGCAAGCTTCTGCAGTTTCCTAAAGGTACATGTGCCTCCTCAATCCACACCTTGGCACCTGCTGTCCCCTCAACCTGGGATGTTCTCTCCTCCCTTTTCGTCCTGGAAAATGCTTATCAACCTTAGGAAGTCATTTCATACCTACTTCCTGAGGGGAGTTTCCTCTAATATTCACCCCCCTCCCCACCACAGACTACTTGAGCCACAAAGCACTTGAGACTTGACTTTTAGAAAAGCAATTAATATATTCATTAAAGTGGATTTGTTTATTTGTTCAATAAAACAAAGCAATTTGAAGGCAATGTTTTATTGATGTTAAGTCTGCTGCACTTAGAACTGTGCTTAACACATAGTGAGTACTCAGTAAGTAGCACTGGGATGTTATTATTTTATGTAGCTGTCCAGCATTTGTGTTCTGGAACCTTATTACAGGACAAGTAACGTTCCAGTCAGAAAACAGAGTAAGAAGGAAATCCTCTAAAAATACGTAAGCATATGAAAGGCATGGCTCAGGGCAGGACTGATGCCTATGCAGGAGTCCCCAGGCTTTCTGTTTCCTGAATTTTAACTCCCCACTTGGTCTTCCTATTTCCAAACTATTCCAGGCATTAAAAGTAAAAAGGTACTTACTTCTATCTTATATGAAAAGTAAAAGAAAAAATACAGAATAATAAAAATTTTATAACTTAATAATGCATAAAGTTCTTATCCAAAGCATTATCACATAGCGCTTGGCTGACATAACTTACAGGATCAAATACCTGAACTCTTTCTTTCTTGAGTCCTACTAATGGAATTCTAATTTTAAATTTTCTTTTTTCATCTCTGGGCAATTATTATTTGTCAGTCTATTCGACCTTCTCTCTGGGGCAGGGTTGATACAGGAGTTTTAGTTACATACAATTCCTAGGTCGTTAACGAGATGACAGATGGGGGGAAAAGCCCTTAGCCTCTACACAAATAAGAGGTAGTCTAGATACAGGGACACCTTGGTTTTCATCTCCATGTTGCATTCTACAGCAAGTAATAATATGCAAATAAGCTGATGCCCCAATGGTACCGAGATGAGATAAAAACATCACTGTAAATTATTATATTGCTCAAACTATTGTATGTGAATTTGATAATACTGAAAGTCAATGTAAATTATCGAAGAAAAAGTAAGCTGCTGTTTTTTTTTTAATTAGGAAAAAGTCACCCACTTATATAAGACAGGTCTGTCCTGCAGGGCTTCCATTGCCTGAGTCAGTACTGGAGATATGTCACATGATTCTTGTGTCAATGCTCTGCATTCACCTGAAAAGTCATTATAACACTTATTGTGTTATACAATCATTATAACATTATAACATTTGTTAAAGTAAAACTAGGTCTTTATTATGTCTGTTGTACAGCCAGAGTCTAAATACTGTATTAAAAAAATGCTTGGGAGGCTTCCCTGGTGGCGCAGTGGTTGAGAGTCCGCCTGCCGATGCAGGGGACACGGGTACATGCCCCGGTCCGGGAGGAACCCACATGCCGCGGAGCGGCTGGGCCCGTGAGCCATGGCCACTGAGCCTGCGCGTCCGGAGCCTGTGCTCCGCAACAGGAGAGGCCACAGCAGTGAGAGGCCCGCGTACCGCAAAAAAAAAAAAAAAAAAAGCTTAGAAAAGCCTAGAGAACATGGCAATCAAAAACTAGTTCATGCTTTCAAACTAAAAATGTAAGCTTAAATACCTATATAACTTCAAATGACCACATCTGCTATGTGGTATACCATATATATATATTTTTTTTTTCCTCCTAGTTGCAGCGAGTGGGGACTACTCTTTGTTGCAGTGCGCGGGCTTCTCATTGTGGTGGCTTCTCTTGTTGTGGAGCACGGGCTCTAGGCGCACGGGCCTCAGCAGTTGCAGCACATGGGCTCAGTGGTTGTGGAGCACGGGCTCAGTAATTGTGGTTTCCGGGCTCTTGAGCACTGGCTCAGTAGTTGTGGCGCACGGGCTTAGTTGCTCCACGGCATGTGGGATCTTCCCGGACCAGGGCTTGAACCCGTGTCCCCTTGCACTGGCAGGCGGATTCTTAACCACTGCGCCACCAGGGAAGTCCCCACATATTTTATTATTATAAAAAACTACAGTTCTAAAGAAACCAGTCAATGAACAAACGTGCACTAAATAACTGCTATACACATGGCAATGTCAAGGAGGGAAGGGAGTACTAAACATATTACCAGTTCCTTACCTTGGGAGCAATCTTCAAGGAGTTTGCTAAAATGTTTATATGGGTAACTAACATATAGTATTAAGATTATAATTTCAAAATTGTTTAGATTTTAAACTGTTTAAAAAATCTGTACACCAATATGTCCTTTATTTTACTATCCTATCTATAAAATACTTATTAAATGTCTACTCTGCTCAAAAAACTCAGAGCATGTTCAGAAGTTCCCAACCTTTTGGAATATGAGGACCTCACGCTAGCAGTCTATTTTTCTGGCATACACTGACTGAGAAAAACATACATGTGTATGGGATTGGAGCTATCTTACGATGACTCCAGTGTCCTTAGGAGTCAGAATGTCAGTTTGGAACTTCTATGTTAGATGTCATGGGAGCACAGAGAAATATGAGGCAATGTTCTTGCCTTTATGAAAACAGAAATCTAACTGGAGAGCTAAGACATACATACATGAAAAGTTAAGTTATGTTAGAGTAGTAAATTATTGAATACCAAATAAATATATTCAGCAGTTAGTGTTCAGAGATGGGAAAAGCCACTATGATTTAATGTAGTTGTGGAGAGTTCCAGGAAGATGTAGAACCTAAGCCTTTGAAGACTGAGGTAGGATTTGGATATAATGAGGGAAAGCCAGACCATACTCCAAATAGGAGTAAACAGTGCAAACAAGAGAAGCAGAAAAAGAAACAAGTTTTGGGGCTTCCCTGGTAGCGCAGTGGATAAGAATCTGCCTGCCAATGCAGGGGACGCAGGTTCGATCCCTGGTCCGGGAAAAGCCCACATGCCGCGGAGCAACTGAGCCCGTGCACCACAACTACTGAGCCTACGCTCTAGAGCCCGCGAGCCACAACTACTGAAGCCCGCGCACCTAGAGCCCGTGCTCCACAACAAGAGAAGCCACTGCAATGAGAAGCCTGCGCACCACGACGAAGAGTAGCTCCCGCTCGCCGCAACTAGGGAAAGCCTGCGCACAGCAAGGAAGACCCAACACAGCCATACATACGTACATAAATAAATATTTTTTTTAAAAAAAGAAGTTTTGGAGATAAAGAGTAAATCATCTGAAACAGATAAGGTTTTTCACAGTCAAGTACAAGTATACTGGTTAACTGGATTTAATCCCAACTCCTTCCAACAGTCAGCTGGTAACATCTATTAAAATATCCTGTGCACATGTTCCATTCTTGAAGTCTTAACTACTTTGTTTTTAACAGGCAATTCTATGAACAGACTACTGAAACATTTTAAAGCAAATCTAAAGCAAATAAATCATTTGTGATAGGCAAAATAATGGTCCTCCAAAGATCCCTAATCCCTGAAACCTGTGAATATGCCATCTTACGTGGCAAAAGGGACTTTGCAGATGGAATTAAGGTGACAGACCTTAAAATAGGGACATTTTCCCAGATAACCCAAGTGGGTCCAAGGTAATCATATAGGTCTTAAAAGTAAAAAAGGCTATAGCAGAAGAGTTAAGAGATACGAGATGGAAGAAGAGGCAGAAGAGATTCAAAGTGAGAAAGTGAATCCATCTACCCATTACTGGCTTCGAAGATGGAGGAAGGGGCCACAAGCCAAAGGATGCAGGCAGCCTCTAGAAGCTGGGAAAGACCCTCAGTGACAGCCAGCAAGGCAACTCAGAGCTCAGTCCTCAGACTCAAAGAACTAAGTTATGCCAACAAACTGAATGAGCAAGGAAACAGACTACTCCTTAGAGCCTCCAGAAATGAATGCAGCCCTGCCCACATTTTAATTTTAGCATGGTGATTTCTGACTACAGAACTATAAAATAATAAATTTGTGTTATTTTAAGCCATTAAGATTGTGTTAAATTTGTTACAGCAGTAATAGAAAAACTCACCATTTATTATAGTTGTAGTAACTACTACATGTAAATAACATGTCATGTAAATAACAAGAGATGTCTAATCAACTTTAAGATAATCTGGGGCAGAAATACTGACTTTATTTTTTTATTCCCATCCTTAATCATAGACAGTGCTTGAATGATAGTAGATGTTTATGAGACACATACAAAGACAATATGTTCAAATATAAAGTTTTTCTTTTTAAAAGTAGTTTTTGATTATTAAGATCAAAATGATATCAAATAAAAACTAAGTGAAATAACAAAATCAAACACTAATATTCATGAATCTAGACTGCATAAAAGAAATCACTTACTTTGAGCCCACCGGTAAAGTCTTTCATAAGATGTTTCTTGAAGCAAGGCCATCTGTTCCATAATTTCTAAACTAAAATCATTAAAGGTTTATTATAATTTATTTAAAAGTTTTAGCCAATAGCTATTGAATACATCTAAGAACCTAATCACTTTATTTAATTACAGAATGATTTGGTTATAGCCTATTAACTTTTTATCATCTTGTGGAATAATTTTTCAATAAATTTTTATAATTAAATGTCGCCAACACCATCACTTAAGATACCCAACTGCTGTTTTACTCTAAACTTATCAGGGTATAACTTTCTCCTTATCCAAAGATACATAAAGATTAAACTTCTATTTCACAAAATGTCATAATGTCATATACTTTAAGAAGAACCTAGAAAATCGTTAAATTTTGGAAATATAAAAGGCAACACAATCGTGAAATGAAAAGACTACTCACCCTGCTGTTTGTTGGTTTGTACGCAAGAGAACTTTGACATCATTATGAATCTGTTTTACTCTTCCCAATGCCTTGAAAAAATCCTTTAAAATTAAAGCATATTCTTTTTAACTATAGATCTAGAATACAGAATTTACAAAAGAAGCAATTAACAAGATTGAAAATGGTTGCCAAAGGACTTAGAGATGGGAAGGAGTGGGATAGGTGACGTAGGTTTTCTTTATAAGCCATGTTGTACTCTTTGACTTCTAAAAACAACCCAAAAAAAGTGTATGTATTGCTTTGAAAAATAAGGTAATGTAAAATATGCACCTTAATTGCTAAACTTAAAAACATTTTTAAATCAAAAGAAATTTTAGGTGGTAAAATAAAGCCTTAAAAAAGAGTGATTTCTCTATAACATCTGTAACTGCTATGCTTTAAGTGATTTTAACAGAAAGCAAAGTACCTCAGTGATAGGTCCTTCTCTCATACCTCGGAGAAGACTCATTTCGTCAGAAGTCAGCTGGAACTTGGATAAGAAGGCATCTGCAACTTGCGCTCTGATTTCTAATGTTTGACTGTAATATTTTAAAAAAGGCAACAGAAAATCAAGCACACTATGCATTTGCATAGCTTTAAAACAAGTTACATCTGACATAACTTTTAAAACAAAGGTGTGGAAGAGTCTCAATATCTTCAAAAGCCTTATTTCTGCCTCAAATATTAGAACCCCATCAGGCATGTAGGTGATAAAACTGGCTGATATTGTTCTACCTCAGTAGAAGCCACAGTAAAATGATTCATCATTAAGCAAAAGAAGAAATACGTTCATGAATGGTCCGGGTATTACAATCCTTAGCCACTTAGGTGTACTTGCATAGTTCGCCTCTTGAAAACAAAGTTATCTTACAGAAGAGAAATATGCCAGTTAATTTCTTCTCAGTCACTAAAAAAACCCTAAGCCTTTGAAGCTTGCACATGAAGTACACAACAACCAAAGATCAGGTCTATTATTTTTTTATTTCAGGTTAGAAATAGTAGTCAAGAATTCATTTAGTAATCCCTCATTAATTCAAAAAAATCACTCTTCCACTCTCCCTTCCCCACTTTTTCTGCATACGATCATGATTAAAAAAAAAGTCTTTTCAATTATACTACCCGAACGCAACTTATCTAGACTAGCTGACAATTAGCAAAAGGCACACTCTAGTCTACAGGGACCTGAAGGACTGAGCAGGGTCCCATCTAAGGGCAAGTCAGGAATACAAACTACAAGAGCAGAAATTCAACATCCCTGCCTTCTAGATCTTAGGTTTGAAGATATAGAAATAAAATTATAAGTGTTTCACTTGTAGTATTCACAGGGCAGTAATATGCTACAATCTAAAAATATTCAAATGAAACTGAACAAAGATAAACATTAACCCTATCTGAACAGACAGTACAACGCATCTTTGTTTTGTTTGTACTCCAGTTGTGAGGTTTTAAATTCAGTCAAATGCTCCTGCTGA